ATAATTGGAGTCAGAGAGACTTAATCAGACTGATTTATGGTAACAATTTTTCACTATTCTTTCACTACACTAATACAAAATACACTTACATAGGTATTATTGTACATCCTGTCCTTTTTTTTTTCAATCAGCATTTAAGCATCTCATCTGGAAACAGAAAACAAATGCTTATATTTCTCTGTAAAAGTTTTGTTTTAGAGGCAGGCGGATCTCTGTGAGTTCGAGGCCAGCCTGGGCTACAGAGTGAGTTCCAGGAAAGGCGCAAAGCAACACAGAGAAACCCTGTCTCGAAAAACCAAAAAAAAGTTTTGTTTTATGGTATCATCTCTACTCCATCTCCTTGTCCATTTAAACAATGTTTTCTAGCCATGCATGGTTATTCATTCCTGTAATCTAGTACCTGGTAGGCTGAGGCAGGAGGATTGCCTTGAATTCCAGGCCAGCCTGGGCTATTATGATATTATGTTTCATCATCATAATCATAATAATTTGTTTAATGATTGATAATATTTCTGGCATGTTAAGCCATTTTTCCATCTAGCATTCCACCAAAACCATTCTCATCAAGTTTATCAGTGAACTGCATATTGAATGCAGCCAGCCTATCCTTTCATATTTGGTAACTTTGGATACTATAAATTGCCTCTCCTCAAAAACACTTCTTTGACTTCTGTGATATACCTTTACTTTTACTGCCCTAATTGCTTTAATTAAATTGATTGATTGGAGCTAAGAACTTGCAGGAATTGAATCTCTCCACCATGTGGCTCCCAGGGATTTAGGTTGTCAGGCTTGGCAGCAAAGTGTCTTTACCACTGAGCTATCTATCTCATTATTGTATATTTTCTTTAAGTCCATTCACTGTTCTATAATTTTTCTGAAAAACATGTTTGTGATTCCTCTTGACCCTAGACTGAATTGTAAAGACCTGAGCTTGTTTTATGCTCCATCCTCTGTAGGAGGATTATTGAGTTTGAGGCCAGTCAGAGCTACATAGTGAATCCCTGACTTAAAAAAAAATAACAATAGTAATAATCTCACTTTTAGGCAGAATTGGAGTTTTCTAGAGTAGCTATATATTAATAATTGAAATTAAATAGGTAGGCGGGTGGTGGTGGTGGTGGTGGTGGTGGTGGTGGTGCTGCTGCTGCTGCTGGTGCTGCTGCTGCTGCTGCAGCTGCTGCTGCACCACCACCACCACCACCACCACCACCACCACCACCACCACCACCACGAGCACGCCTTTAATCCCAGTATTTGGGAGGCAGAGCCAGGTGGATCTCTGTGAGTTCGAGGCCAGCCTGGTCTACAGAGTGAGTTCCAGGATAGGCACCAAAACTACACAGAAAAACCCTGTGTCCAAAAAAAAAAAAAAGAAAGAAAGAAAGAGAGAAAGAAAAGAAAAGAAATTTGTAAATAAGTTAAATTTGAAAACAATTCTGTGTTGCTGAGTGTGGTGGTGAATGCTATAAACCTAGCACTACAGGCTGAGGCAGTAGGATTGCCAAGAGTCTTAGCCAGGGCTACCTAGTTAGACCCTGTCTCAAAAACAGCAACAAAAGTACTGTTTTGCCACACATAGAGGATTTCTCTATATAGCCCTGTCTGTCCTGAAATTGTGCTGTAGACCAGGATGACCTCAAACCCATAGAGCTATGGCAGTCTCTGCCGCCCGAGTGCTGTGATTAAAGATGTTTGCCACCACAGACTGGATGCTTGTTTTTATTTATATATTCATCATCATAAAGTATTTTGAATAAATATATTTTCTCCTTTGTTAAAAAAAAAAGTAGTTTTGCACCTGCATAAAATGTGGCTGGGTTTAGGGAGTACATACATGGGTCTGAAATTATAATATACTTGTGGGGTCATAAGGATGCTTGGTCTACATAGTATAGTTTATTTTTTTGAGATAGGAATTTATTTTGGCATTGACTGATTTTTTTTTCTTCTTTAAACTATAGGTTGACTGTCATATAATGTGCATATTAATATAATTATGTCATGTTCTATAATTAATAATTTAGAAATAAGCCGGGCGGTGGTGGCGCACGCCTTTAATCCCAGCACTCGGGAGGCAGAGCCAGGCGGATCTCTGTGAGTTCGAGGCCAGCCTGGGCTACCAAGTGAG